GGAAGCTGGAAGAGATGGGCAAGGAAGAGGTTGGGAGGCAAGTCAGGAGAGGTTGGGGACAGGCGGGCAGGTAGGAGAAGGAAGGGCGGGACAGCCAGCATTTGAGCCCTGTAGGTGTGGAGAAAAAGGCATGAGACAGAGGGACTGGAAGATCACTGACGACATCCAAAAACTCTGGTTTCTTCAGGAGTGGTCAGTTCAGAGCAAAGAGGGTGGACAGTTTACAATAAGGGTCAGCTGCTCTTTTGAGCTATTCAGTGGTCAGAGGAAGAACCAAGGAGGTAAATGGGCAAGAGAAGAGGGTGTGGGGAGAGGAGAGCTGCCTTCTGGAGAGAGCGCCAGGTAGGAGCCCGGGGAAGGGCTGGGAATTGACACACCCCCATCTGCACTGTCCAGGTGCTCAGTAGCCAGAGATGGCCCAACCTGTCCTCTATCCACCTCCCCTCGTCCTGGGCTCAGACTCCTTTTTTTAGCACCTTACCAGACATTTCACCTGAGCCAGCTCAGTTCAAAGTCTCTAAAATAATCCTCTCTAGCCCTCTTTTATCTTATGTTCATAGCTTGCCTAGACTATTAGAATGACTTCCTCTCTGGCTTCCCCCTTCTGGCTTTCTGCCTGCTCTTCAGGAGACCTTTCTAGTCCACCTCGATGTCACATTACTCCTGTGCCTGACCCCATGCTTCCCACAGCCTAGTACAAAAGTAGCCTAGCTTCGGTCTGATGTCCGTCTGCCATACCAGCTTCCATTTCTTTTGCGCTTTGCTGCCACTCCATGTTCTCTGTCCTGCTCCCCAATGCCACTTCCTGGTTCCTTGATGTGCCATCATCTGCCATGCTTCATGCTCTGCTCCCCTGGTGGATGTTCTTCCTCCTTTCTTGTGAGTTCTTGTAAGTTCATTTTTCAGGCAACCTGAGGTCGGCACCTGCAGATCTCCTTCACTTCCCCGGGCTGTACTTTATTTTCTCTCCATCTAGGTCTGCAGTTTAGCACTCAAGCCATATTGCAGTTAATTAATTTCTTGCCTGACCCTCCCTGGGGACTGTGAGCTTACTCAGGGCACCTATATTCCCAGCGCCCAGCATGAGATTTGGCATGAAACCTAAGAATGTTGTTGAATGAAGTGCCCCATGGCCTGTTTAGTGGGAGACTTTGCCTTATCCTGGCTGGATATCAGTGCCTGGCTAGCACTGTCTTATCCTGTCAGGTGAGAGTGTGTGTTCTTTTCTAGAGCCTGGGTGGGACCTTTTTAGGCTAGTGGGACTGGCTGGCGTGTTGGTCAGGACCCTCTCTCCTGCTGATATGTGGGCTCTTGTCACCAGACGGGACTGAGTACGGGCTGAGCGAAGCTGATATGGAGGCTTCCTACGCCACAGTGAAGAGCATGGCGGAACAGATAGAGGCTGATGTCATCCTGCTGAGGGAGCGCCAAGAAGCCGGTGGCCGTGTGCGTGATTACCTGGTTCGAAAACGAGTAGGAGACAATGACTTCCTGGAGGTCAGGTGAGAAGGCCTCAGAACTGTTTAGGGATCTCTGATGCATGACTTTGGGGGCTATGGTTTCATAGACACCTGTGATAGAACTTGTGATTCTTGGTGTGTCAGTCCCACCCCCTCCCTTCTTTTCTCTTCCTGAAATGGGGAAAGTGTGCCTAGGGTCATGACAGCTCTGTTCTGTCTGTACTTCATGCCCTGAATAGTTCCATCTGGGAAGGGTGGCCCAGCCATGTGTTTTGTGGCTGCCCTGTGGGTTGCATTTGCTCCCATCAGCCTTCAAGGCCTGAAGCTCAGGGCCGTCGGGCGCTAGGAGAGATAGGTGTTGAGGGAGCCCAAGACCATTGAACAGCTTCCTGTCCCCTGGATGCTGCAGCTCTAGGAACTTTCCCAGGAGCTTACACAAGAGCAGGAGGAGTGGCAATCTGTGGGCTGTAAGGTTGAGCCTGGACTTGGAGGTCCACTTTCTGGGCCCCAAGTTGTCTCTTCAACACACTAATCTCACATTGATGTATGGGTCCATGTGCACACAGGGTAGCGGTTGTGGGCAATGTGGATGCTGGCAAAAGCACACTTCTGGGAGTCCTGACGCATGGGGAGCTGGACAATGGCCGTGGCTTTGCTCGCCAGAAGCTCTTCCGCCACAAGCATGAGATTGAATCTGGTCGTACCAGCAGCGTAGGCAATGACATCCTGGGCTTCGACAGTGAAGGCAATGTGGTAAACAAGCCTGATAGCCATGGTGGGAGCCTGGAGTGGACAAAGATCTGTGAGAAGTCCACGAAGGTGATTACCTTCATCGACCTGGCTGGCCACGAGAAGTACCTGAAGACCACTGTCTTTGGCATGACAGGCCACCTGCCTGACTTCTGCATGCTCATGGTAAGTATGAGGCAATCCTGGGGCGAGGCATCGCAGGCGGGGGTCCAGGATTGGTCTGCAGCTTTGGAACTCAACACTAGGTCAGCATGGCAAGTTTGGGATCTCAGTGCCCAGTCCTCTGAGCACGATGGCCTTCTCTCCCCTTGATGGAGCAGGAAAGTGTCATTTGCAGACTTCTCTTATTTTTCAGAGAGGCATAGAGGAAATACTCTCCTTGGATTGACTTGCTGCCTTCAGAAATGTTTCTCCAGTACTAGGGATTTGGAGGAGGGGAGGCTCAGGGAAGTCGTGGAGGGAGCACCTCATGTCAGGAGACCCAAGAGGTGGCATCTTCAGAGCCTGGAAGAGGGCAGTGTGGGCCAGGGCACAGGCATCCGTTGGGTGGCTCTGTGTGCCTGGCCCCATATTCACCTGATGGCACAGCAGAAGCAGGCCGTCTGGGGCTCCCAGAGAGCTTACAGTCTGGCCTGATTCAGTTTCTGAGCAGTTTATCATTAGATTCACTACAAAGGAGAGAGAATAGAGGGCTCTGCTTGTTTCCTGCTGCTGAGCTTCCTTCCTGGATAGAGTGGGAATGGTGAGGCCCTGACCCTGTCACAGCTTCATAGCCTTCTTGACAGAGGATGGAAAGGGAAGGACGGAGAGAAGGAGGGTGCACTGGTGCGGAGTGAGCACGTGTGCCTTTGGCAAGTCCTTTCCAAAGCCCTTCCCCAGTCCCAGTTTCTCAGCTGCTCATGTTAATAAGTGGTAAACACAAGCATCTGTTCTTAGCAAACTGGCTCAAGTTACCCCACAAACAGGAGTGCTCAGGCCAGCTTCCTGCACGAGAGCAGGAAAGGGAGACATAATACGTGGAGCGAATGCCCTCCTCTCTGCCTGTGGTTCTCAGGCTCTCAGCGTAGTTTTTGTTTCTTTGAACATTGTGAGGAGCCATCACTAGCTGTCTAGACTGAGGAAGGGAGCTGCTGTGCTGGAGTGCGAGCCAGCTGATCTGTAGGGCGCATGTGGGCGGTTGCTCTTAAGGTTATAGAAACCACTTGATGTTTTTTATATTTTTTTCTTTTTTGGCGGAACCAGGGATTGAACTCAGGGCCCTTCACTTGCCAGGCAAGCACTTACTCAGCTAAGCCATCTCCCCGGCCCTCAAAACCACTTTAAAATAATTGTTAGGAACCAGTTGGGAGCCTATTATCCCAGCTACTTGGGAAGATGAGGAAGGAGGGTACAAGTTTGAGGCCAGCCTGGACAACTTAGTGAAACCCTGTCTCAAAATAAAATGTAAGAAAAGGACTGGGAATGGAGCTCCGCACCCATTGAGTTCACTCTCCTGAACCATGAAACAAAAAGTGTTAGTGCTCCGCTTGTAGCTCGGGGTAAAGTACTTGCCTGGTATGCCTGGGACCCTGGGCACAACCACTAGCACAGTAAAAGCAAAATAATTAGTTTTCTTTTTGTTTGAATTAACATGTAATAATCATACAAATGATGGTGAGGGTGTGGGGAAAAATTCTTCTACATTGTTAGTGAGAATGTAAACTAGTATACGCACTGTAGAAATCAGTGGAGAAATTCCTTAAAAAAGTAAAAATAAACTCCATTTGACCCAGCTGTTCATCTTTTAGGTATCTTCCCAAAACAGTTAAAAGTTAACATAGGAGGGGCCGGGGAGATGGCTCAGTGGAATAAACGCTTACCTAGCAAGCGCAAGGGTCTGAGTTCAATCCCCGGTTCCGCAAAAAAAAAAAAAAAAGTTAACATAGGGGCTGGTGAGATGGCTCAGTGGTCTAAAGCACCTACTTAGAACAAGCTTAGCAAAGCACAGGAAACGGACCCAGGTTCAATCCCCCAGCACCACAAGCCAGCCAGCCCCGCCCCCTGGTGGGCTGAGCTGGCCACACACACACACACACACACACACACACAAATAAAATTAAAAAAAAAAAAAACAATTCATAGTAGCTAAATCTTCAAAACAGCCTATATGTCTATTAACAGATGAATGGATAAAGAAAGAAAATTAGCATTTATAAACACTGGAGCACCACTCTGCATAAGATTAACTTGAGGGATTCAAGGGGAAATGGGCACAACTTGAAAATATGCTACATGAAATAAATCAGACACACAGCTTAAACATCACATGGGTCTTTTATATGAGAAACTTAAAAGTATGTATTTTTATGTAGAGAGAGAATAAAATAGAGGATAGATAAATAGATCTTTTTCAAATAGTTAGTCCCCCGGGGGACTGAGAGCTGGAGGGGAGGTGGAAGGGAGGGTAGGGGAAAAGTATTGATGATGGGAAAAGAAAATGAAATAGAGCGTTTCCACGTGGCAGTTAGGGGACGAAGAGCTGGAGGGAGCAGGAGGGCGGGCAGGGGTGGGGGTGGAAAAAGAATGGAGGTGCTTTGTGCGCACATGCCAGCTCCCTACAGTGAATGTAATTGTGCAATGCGAACATGAACTAATAAATTTTTAATGTAATATGAAAATTTATGATTCAAAACTCTTCTAGTTCTTCATAAAATAAAAATGTTTTTCTAATTCAGCTAAATAAGACCAAAATGAATAGAATTATCTTCACCCCAGACACAGTGTTCATGTCTCATTTACAGACCGCTATCCAAACATCAAAATATTTCATTATTCCATGGCAGCCAATTTCCAGGAAAAGTTTTTTTTTTTTTTTTTTAAATATGTATCCAACAGAGCAATAGAGTGCTCCCTTATGCAGCTTGGGAAGAACAAAAGCCAGTGTGAGCCGGATGGCCAGGCAGGGAAGAGTTAGGAGAACTGCGTGCCAGCAGATGGTGTCCCGGTGAGGGAGGGGATGGGTGCCACAGCGGCAGCGTGCCACACCCTGTGAGCTTTGCGATCACATGAGCAAGCTCCTTGCAGCATGACCATGCTCAGGGATGACACAGCAAGTTCTTTTCTGACTTAATTTTACTATATGTTCCCGTGATACAAAATTAAAAGGCACCAGAGGGTGAAAACCTTCTCTTTTTTCTCTAGTTTCCTGCCAAAGACAGCCAGTGTTTACAGTTGCTTTCTTTCTTTCCTTTTGTACTGGGAATTGAACTCAGGACCTTGTGCTTGCCAGGCAGGCGCTTGTACCACTGAGCTATATCCCTGGCTCTGTAGTTTCTTGTGTGTTTTTCCCTGATATGTGTGCTCACACCAGTAAAAGTGTGTGTTGTCTCCCTCTAATTTCAAATATGCAGAAAAATGGAAAGAGTGGCATAATGAATGTCGTGAACCTACCTGCCATTTAGATTCAACAATAATTAAAACACAAAAGTAATTGGTGTGTGTGTGTATTCCTTTTTGATTAATTCATTTACAAAGGCATTGTAAACATCATAACTCTTCCCATCAAAAACTTCAGCATATAGCTAAGAGTAGGGACTATTTCTTGTTACTGCAGTCAAGAAAATGAAAAATGATAGTTCTCAAGTATCCTACTAGTTTAATCTATGTATTATCTCAAGTATTACTCAAATGTCTTACATTGTAAGAGCTTTTTCAACTAATGATTCAGTAGCATTTGCCTTTATTTCATGCTGGAGATTGAACCTAGGACCTTGTGCATGCTAGGCAGGCACTCTACCACTGAGCTATATCTGCAGCCCTGCTCACCTCTTGTTACGGTCGCATACTTGTGTACACTACACTATTTTTTTTTTTTTTTTCTTAAAAAATTCTCAAGATTAACTCTTGCTGGGCATGGTGACATGTACCATTAGTCCTAGCACTCAGGAGACTGAGACAGGAGGACTGCCAAGAGTTCAGGGCCAGCCTGGACTACAGAGACCCTATCTCAAACACACACACACACACACACACACACACACACTCTTACCCCTTGTCAGAAGATGAACGTTTAGCCAGGCATGGTCATCCCAGCACTCTGGGAAGCTGAGGCAGGATTGCAAGTTCAAGCCCAAGCCCAGTATGGGCAATTTAGTGACTAGTGAGACTGTCTAAAAATGAAAAATCAGACTCGTGAAGGCCCTGGATTCAGTCCCCAGTACCAAAAAGAAAAAAAGTTTCTGTACAGTATATTTTGTACATGCCCTAATTTTTACCCAGGCTTCATGATACAGGAGACATTTAATGTTACGAGAATGAGTAGTAAGAGTAATGGCTGCCATAGGGGGACACCTAGTTCATGCTAAGTGTGTGCTAGATGTTTCATATATATTAAGATATCTAAGTCTCTAGTGACCCTCTGAAGTACTTATTTTATGTTTGTATATAAAGACATCTATTTTGAGGCATTGGTATATGCTTCCACCAATTCTCCTCCCAACCCATTCTCACCATTTTCTTTTTGGTCTTTTTTGAGACAGGTTCTTGCTATGCAGTTTAGGCTGGCTTTGAGCTCACTTTGTAGCCCAATGGCCTCAAACTCTCAATGATCGATCCTCCTACCTCTGCCTCCCAGTGTCTGGAGTTACCATGCCTGACTTCCTCCCCATTTTCTTTCTTTTTTTTTTTTTTTTTTTTAATTTTATTTATGTGGGGGGGGGCCTGCTCAGCCCACCAGGGGGTGGGGCTGGCTAGCATGTGGTGCTGGGGGATTGAACCGTGGTCCCTGTGCTTTACTAAGCTTGTTGTAAGTAGGTGCTTTAGGTGCTTTAGACCACTGAGCCATCTCACCAGCCCACCTTCCCCATTTTCAAAAGCTCCATTTCCATTTTTTTCTCAATGCCATTTTTCCCCTTTTTCTTTTTTCTTTTTTCTTTTTTTTTTTTGTGGAACCAGGGATTGAACTCAGACCCTCGCGCTTGCCAGGGAAGTGCTTATTCCACTGAGCCATCTCCCCAGTTCCTCCCTTTTTCTTTTTTAAAAAAATAACGTTTATTTTTATTTATTTATTTTATGTATTTGGTACAGGATCTCACCACAGCTCGGACTCATAGTGATCCTCCTGTTTTCAGCCTTCCCGGCGCTGAGATTACAGGCGTGCGCCACCACTCGGTGGCCAGCTCAGTGCG